CTCGAGCCTCTGTTTTGCGACTGAACGCGTCCGCTCCTGCACGACCGGACGTAGCACCAGAGTCCGGTCATTCTCCGAATGCCACGCATCACTATTATTCCTCACGCCACCATGTCAGCGTACGTTAGTACTGACCGGACGCAGACCCTGAGCGTCTGATCACTCTTCACGCCAGCGTCCGGTCACAAGACCGAGACCCACATGCACAACTGCTACCACTGACCGGACGCGCCGGTCCTACCGAGGCCAGCATCCGGTCACTCACAGTGACCTCCTTTCACCTCCATTTCTTCCCCGAGTTGATCCGTTTCAACTTCAACTCCTTCTCCTTTGCAAATGTGTCAACACCACCAAGTGTACACCACCATGTGTATGTGTGTTAGCTTTTCACAAATATTTTCTAAAGGATTAGCCACTCAACTTGCCACGCCACTCGATCATAGCGACTATGCAAAGTTAGATCACTTGAGTGACACTAGATGACCGATATGCAAACAAGTTTGCACCTCTTGATAGTATGGCCATCTATCATAAATCTGGTCATCAACTTCTCTACACACCTATGACCAGTGAAATGAAATGCCCTAGGTTATACCTTTGCCTTGCGCATTCCATTCCATCTCCTCCAATGTTGATGCAACACATGCACCACACACAATCAACAATGATATGATCCACTTCATATCATCACGTGATCATATTGGTTCATCGATCTTGACTTCACTTGCTTTTCACCGTTGCCTTCATCCATCGGCGCCAAGTCTTGCTCAAGCTTCACCGCCACGTGGTCCATCGCTCCAAAGCCTCCCACTTGCCCTTCACGCTTGCAACCGGTCCATCAAGCCAAGTCTTGTCTTGATCTTCTCCACCTTGATCACATGACTCAATGTCATGTCTCATGTGCAATGAGCTCCTTCATCATCACATGTGTGAGCTTTGCAACATCTCCGAGCTATTTCCACCTTCATGACATATGTTGCTCACACACATGTACCTGTGGACTAATAACCTGTGTATCTCACATAAACACAATTAGTCCACCTAGGTTGTCACTCAATTACCAAAACCACACAAGGACCTTTCAGGACCCTAACTACAAGATCGTGCTGGAAGAAGTCAACAGCGAAGGCAAGTCCTAGCTCCCCTCCCCCTCTACCATCTTGCTTAATCACTTATGCTAAAACAACTTGCTTAATCATGATCCTAAAATATGAGCTCGGTTATTAAAATGATTAGTGTTGAAGTAAGATAAATATTCATTTTATTATATTATGAGCTCCATGACACTGAAGAACTTAAGGACAAAAATGACTAAAACATAAAACTTGGTAAACCTAAAACTAGATGCCGACAGGGGGCGAGCGGGGGTAGCTTATGTGGGATAAGTTATCTTGGTGGGAATGCCTGGATGGGGTTCCCAGGGAGATGCTCATCTCGGTCACGTAAGGATCGGTTCGTAGTCCCTCTCGCCTAGTGCGATGTTACGTATAGCCACATGTCTATATGGGTAGACTGGATCTCACACCCCATTGGGCGGAAGTATAATTCCTATTAGGAGGCCGATGTAGGCAACGGAATATCAAGAGCAGACATGGATGCTATGTGATCTTTCATGGTTCGGTTAGCGTGGATGCTAGGTGATCTTCCACGTTAAGCCCCTTGATTTTGGCCATGTTCAAGTCCATGATTATTATTGACTCTTGTGATGATTAGGTATCATCATGTTGGGATAATTAGGTATCATCCTAGTTTTTGTGTTTCCAACCCCTGAGAAGCCGTGGTAGGGTTATATGGAAGTCTAGGGTAGCACCCAAGCGGGCACGTGGTCTCGTTAGGTCTATTTCAACCATTGATCATGGAAGGGGTAGTGCCTATCATGTGGGGAAATGTGTACACCTCTGTAGAGTTAGTCAAATCTATTTGAATAACCATGACCTTGGAATGGTCAGATGCTAGGACGGGATACTATGATTAGCTTTACTTTTATGCGTAATGAAACTGGTAACTAACACAAAGATGACACTAACCCGGGAACTAGCTGGGATGGTAATGCCCCACTAGGACCCAACCCTTAGTTTTAATCACCACCACACCTCTATTTCCACCCTATGGTTAGGGCTTGCTGAGTACGTAAGTACTCATCCGTTGTTGACACACACAGACTTCGGCACCAAAGAAGACCAAGGTTACGACGAGGAAGCGCATCACGAAGATTAGGAGTTACGCGAAGAGTCCAAACGTAGGAGATGACATCGAAGCTAGGGTTTCGGCCGCGCTCGAGCTTGCCTGTGGAATAGGTTATCGCTACGCAGTAGAATACTATCGTATTAGAGACCACCATGAATAAGTGTCGCCCGCGGCAATAGTTTTCCTCTAGCTCTGTAAGCCTACAACTACGCCATTTAGGCTATGGTTGTAAGACTCTTATTAGATATTAATAAAGCTCGCAACCTTTCTTTTTAGCTGTGTACCAATTCTATTGATTTTGTGCGTACTTGTGTGTGATCCTGGCGTAAGTACAGATGCACCTAGGACTCCCAGAAATGAGGGGCCGACACCTTGCCTAGGCATGTAACCTTTTTTGGACTTTTGGACAGTCACGTACACATACTAGAGCACTCCTCAAGCTTCTCCACTTATACATTTGTTTTGGAATTTATCTTTTGAGTGAAAGATCAAGATGCTAGTGCATTGCTTTGAGAAATTGCATTGAGTGGCACTAGAGATTATGTTTACTGTGTGATTTGCTTAATACTATTGATGGTTGCCGCCACCTAGACGGCTTGGAGCAGCGAGACTATGTTGAAGTACTCAATTAAAGATTATGAGGTGGTCAAAAGGAGGATTTGTGAGGGGCTATTGGATCCCACCCCACTGGAGAGGCAAAGAATCACTCTAGTGAAAAAAGAGGAGCTGAGAGTGCCTTGTGATTGAGTCGGCTTAGAGACCGAGCCCTCAAGTGGAGGAGGCAACCTTGCGGTGTTGAATCTTGGTAGAGAAGCGTTAATCCTAGAACTCACCTCAACGTTGGTGTAGGTGACTGGCAAGTCAACGAACCATGGGATATACTATTGTGTCATCCCTTGTGTGATATTGCTTAATTTACCTCTTTGACATTAAAATTGTAGGTTGTAAGCTCACCCTAGGTTCCAAAACACTAGATAGTGGTAGAATTATCCTTTGGTACTAATCTTGTTATCTAGTGTCTTTGTTTTAATAAATTGTAATTGGCTATTCACCCCCTTTAGCTACCACGTAGGTACTTGAATGTGGGAAAATTACCTATTTTCATCTCATTTCACTCTAACACACATAGATTAAGCTAGGTAGATGTGATTGTAGTTAAACAAGACCTAATGTGGCATTGTCAGAGGTGGTACAACCTAATGGTTAATATGGAACCCCCCCCCCTCCCCCGTCACGGATAGCGCCAACGGTCAGCCGGGAAGAAGAAGGGAGAAGAAGAAGAAACATACACTGCCATTGGATTCAAATATATATAGAGGGTCTAGAAAGTGCCTCGAAGCTCAACGTTTTATCATACCTTTGAAAGGTGTACCTCATCAGTTGCTTGTTTACCTCGCACGTGTTTTTATGATAAATGTTTATTTATGTTTGACCGTACAACATGTATTATTAATTGATTATTTGATGCTTTAAAATATCGTGTACACAAGAATTTGATACTATTTCTGTTTCACTAAAGATTCATATTATCAATTTCAGCTATTTTTGGCTTGGCAAAAAAAAAAGTTTCATCATAAATTGAATATTCATAAGACATGGGCCATCTAACCCAGGAGCTATGATTGCCCAACGGCCCTGGTATCTATAATTGGGCAAATGAACCCTTTTGTCCAAGTAAGGAATAACTAAACCTATATTCTATATAAAAAAAATCCTACAGGAAAATAGATCCAGCACAGCAATTCCCCTCCCTTTTTCTCTGCCTTTTTTTTTCTCTTTATATCGTTTTTCTTTTCACGTTATCCTGCAACTTGATTGGATCACAGAGAATGCAAAAACAGGATCTTACACCCTCCGGAAGGTATTCAAGGTTAAGTAGTAGCTTGGGTGGTTGGCGTTCGAAATTAACCATGCAGTCATGCACCAATGCAAGAGTGTCAGCTAGATATCTTCTCGTGTTCTACAACATGGTGTTTGGTTTGATGGATTAACCTATCCCGAATGATGAGTTCATCCTACAAAATTGATGGGATGGTTCATGGTTCTATTGTTTATGTTTATACGAATCATTTGTAATCTTATTCATTCGAAGAGTAAGGCAGTCATGGATCAATTGGTTCTAATTTTTCTAGCCAAATGTAATCGTGATGACTGAGAACGTGATAGATCACCTCGATCGTCTGTCCAAGCCATAAATTGATGATGTCTTTATAGTAGCAAAACTTAGCGTCAGGTTATCATACCCAGTTATGCGTTTCCCCTACTCCACAACTGATACAACGATTGTTTTCCTGTAACTGCCGGTTCAGTTCTGCCTGCCTGAAATTTGCAACTAAAAAGTCAATCCAATATGTACAACAGCACATGATTCTGAAACAACGAACGTTGTTTTTAATGAACCACTCTTATTGATAATCGCTAAACATCGGAAGGCCATAATAACGAAAAAAAAAACAAATGTAGACAGATACAGTATGATGAAAGCGCAGAAGTAAATTTACCTTTATAAGCCCTTCAGCCTATCTAACAATTAAATTGGGCAGCGAGTATTACAAATCCATGAGCCAATACGTGAAACTACTAATTAAATGCTTTTGCAGGTCTCGTCAATTCGCCCATACATACAGTTTGTTTTGATACGATGGCACCATATACACATGATCTTGTAAAATAATGGGGCAACTGACTAATCTGATCAACCTGAGCCCAACAGATTAATTTATTGTCAGTTTTGACCGGGCAGATCGTCACTTCACATGCCAGGTCTTACTACTGATTGAGTTGGCCAATTGTCATCCCAAGTGACGTGTGATTCAGGGTCCAATTGTGCCTGTATCGAAGTAGAGTGTCGTTCCAGAAGATCCACCAGCAACACCCTCCATGAGCGCGAACCGCATGTCCTCCGATGGCTTCCAATGCCTCTTCCTCTGGTTAATGAACCAATTGTTGATCTGCTTTGGGTCGAGACCGGTCATCGCTGCAAGCCTCACCTTATCTTCCTCCTGTCAGAAGCACAACATCAGATTATATATCAGACAATGGTTACAGTGCACCAGGTTCAGGTTGTTCGGTGAAAATGTTCGGCGCCTACCGTAGGATAAGGCCAGCGGTAGTGCGCATTCCACCACTCTAGTAATACTGTCCGTGCATCCTTCGGTAGCTTCCCTTTCTTCCGCTTCTTCAGGAACTCCGAACGAAGACGGCTGAGGCATCCACTGTACTTCTTAAGAAGCATTTCCTTGAGTTCGTGGTCAGCTAAGCGAGAGCTATGTTCTTGCCCTATGTCTGCCACATCAGTGTCCCCTGAGCATTGCTCATCCTCAGACGACCCCATCATGTCATCTGGGAAGCAAGGATCAAGTCAGCAATAAATCACTTACAAGTAGTCTATAGGCATCCACATATCATGTTTTGCAAACAAGCTGAGTAGAAGGAACTGAAACAAACACATGTTAAAGATGTTCCCATGTAATAACGCCTAGTAACATTTCCCAACATAGGAATCCTTTGCCTATACAGTCTATAATTTTGGGAGTTACACACTAGGGAACTACTGGTACTTGTTCATGCAGTCATTGCATGAAAATATGGACGTGCATCATATCCATCAGTTCTGGTAAATCCACGACAATTAGCATGTGTCAACATAGTTTCCTCATCTCTGAAACATGATTGGAGGCCAAAAAGAAAGAAAGAAAAATAGAATAAACATGTCCTTTGATGACATGTAGATTAGCAAATAAACAATGAGTACCTTCAGAAATGATTTTCTTTATAAACCAATGTCCCTCTAAAGTCATCTTTGACATTTCAGTAATACATGTGTCATATTCTTTATCACATAGAAACAGACACAAGATATTAGCTTTTGGGCCTTCGGCTGGTAGCAATATAAGGTCAGACAGAACAAAGGCCTTGTTAAGCATTCAGCTTCCAGATGATTTTGGGATGGCACATAAGTCCATTCTATAGAAGCTGTCACGTGACCCTGTACAAAAACCTTCCATGTAGAATAAACATGTTTCCATCAAAATAACTGCTAAACTGGATAGCAAAACTGTTTTTCAACAAATATCTAGCTTTAACAAGATCTGATCTAAATAGTCCGTAACATAATTTGTCAACCTAAACTCAAACTGTCACATACTAATACCAGCTTTGGACCACCAATGGTCCACCTTGAAGTTCTCAACATCCCAAAACTGAATCTTGCTTCTAACAGACAAATATGAGAAGACCTATTTCCATATCAAACACTTTTTCATTGGGAGAATTATGCAAAATCTTGCAGATCTGATTGTGCAACTACCAGATCTTCTTCGAGTACTTCATTACATGATCATCCACCGTAGCACAAAAACTACAAATAAAATTTTTCCCTGTCCCACCAAAAAAGCGCATTTTGAATTATTCATTGTTTATTTTTCCTTGCATCCCACTCAACTAGAATCCATAAACTACTACTTTAGAAATCCAGTATTGAGTTTTTTTTCGAAAAAAGAAGAATAGGCCCTATGGTCCTACCTTTTGTCACTACCAGAAAAGTTATTATTATTATATGGCATGACCAATAATGCATAGGACGGTAGCATTTCCAGATCTTATTTTCCAGAAGCACATATCAAGATTCACAATTAAAAATGGACAGAACTGGTAAAAGTTAAACAGGCTTGTTTGACTCAAATCACTCAAGTGAGAGAAAGATAAAACATTTACTACCCAAGCACCTGGAAGTCACCATCTCCGGCAGTCACCATCTGAGTTCATATGGCACAAACTCCAACCATATTTCATAATTTCCTACGAGCCAAGAGCCCAAGATAATCTTCCAGTCATAACACGTCTGCCTACACTGTTTCAGTGTATTTTTTTTAGATGATGGAAGAGTATTCCAGGAAACACACACGACACACTAGGAAGTTTGATTAAAAACCAAATCCAAAACATATGATCTTTTTGCAAACCATTCTTCCCTCAATGAAATTGTGTTGTAAACTTGCCACAGCAGTACATCATCTATCACCTCCTGTGGGCCTAGATTGATTGAAATATGTTATCTATACAGACATATGGTTGTTGTTGGTTTTGGCTCTGTAGAGCTATTAACTTATTAGTAATTTATTCTTGAGATCTACAAGCCAATAGCTGACTTTCTTACACAAAGATTCATAACAGGATTGATCCCTATAAGAAAAATCCCTATATGGCCCTTTGGAACAAAGGATTGCAACTTGGAACCCTATGAAACTCCATATAAATTCTGGAGGAAATCTAACATCAGGATGGACCTCATTGAAATTTTATTCCCCCTCCTCTCTATTTGAATTCCTGTATTGCATCAAAAATGTTTGTTGGGAACTTTCCCAGAGAGAGAGAGAGAGAAGGTTTGCATGTTATATTTCTTCCAAAGTTCCTCCGGATTGAGACAGCCTGCGTGAATATTGTAGGATCCTAATATGTTCAATAATTTGTTCCTATGGGCCACATAGGTAAAAATACTAGGATCCAAATCCTACAACATTCCTCCACAAGTCTTATGTTCTAAATGAGTTCTGGTTATTTTTGAAGAACTTTATATTGTATTCATCTACTATATATATATCAAAATATGCTAATGTATAAGCTTTTTTTTTACCAAGATCAAATTTCTAAACATGTTGTAACGAAGGAAGGATGCACCTATCAACATGATCTAGCCATAAAACCGACGTCATCTAGCTGCAAACACACATGAGTATGTTGCGCTCAAGTGGGAGAAGTAGAAGATAACTGCAAAATTCACCAAGGCCATGAGTTTTCCCCAAGAGATAGGACTTAAACCTTCATCTATTTTCATTTCCTTCTCATTGGACAAATCACTGGTCCTTGATGAACTACTCATACAACTCAGACACAAACTCTCATGCATGCACATGCATCTGAAACTAGTACTTGCTAAACAAAGATTAATTCCATTAGACATATATTGTTGGAGGTTTTATGAGAAATTCATGTAGTGAACATTACAACAACAACAACAACAACAACAACAACAAAGCATTTAAGTTCCAAACAAGTTGGGGTAAGCAAGAGTTGAAACCCAGAAGAAGCAATCAAGGTTCAGCCACGTGAATAGCTGTTTTCCAAGCACTCTTATCTAAGGCTAAGTCTTTGGGTATATTCCATCCTTTCAAGTCTCCTTTTATTGCCTCTACCCAAGTCAACTTGATGGATCATAGAACAATGATATAGCATTTGTGAGGGGGAATACGGTCAAAGTTCGAAGGGTAAAGTCAAAGTTTCCAATTATTTTTACAAGATCAAGTACATGCAAGCAACATTTTTTTTTTATTATTATTATTTCGTATAAACGAAGTTCAGTACCTGTCACAAATGTACAAGATAAGATGGGAAGTAGGTTTACAGTGCATAAGTTTGTATCTTTATAGATACACTGAAAGGACATTTTCTAACCTTTTTTTTTAAATAGAAACACACATACTGTGACTACACAAATTTAATTATAGCTATGGAAAACAAAACTCTTGTTATTTGCACCTATTTGACATTATTTGATGGATAACCTTTGTGCATTAATCAGTGTGATCTAAGATTGATCACGAGACAACTGCGCCTTGCGCAGATCGGGTCTGCCACTGCAAATACCTGAATACATGATTTGGTTAGTTTTTTTCAGACCATATGGTGGTACAGTTTCATCATTTGTGAGATGATTTTTTTTGGGGGGTTGGGGGGGGGGGGGGGGGGAGGAAAGAGCACAAAATTTCACTCTTTCACAGAGGACGAAAATTTCAAAAACCTCAAGCATGTCAACAAGTTGTGGATCAGCCCTAGCCACCCCATATTCGTTTTCTAAGGGCCATCAGGCACATGCATGCACAAAATATTGAGTTATCTTGGATGATTGCCGTGTATGTCTGTTGTTGACCATAGGCTAAAAATGCAGGGTATGCATCCCCCATTACCGAAAAAGAAAATCAATTATTTGCTTGAACTTATCAGCCGTACCGTTTCAGCAAAATAACATTGTTTTTCTCTCGCAACAAATCAGCATCAGCATCGGCCGTTTTTCCAACCAACCGAACAGGGACAATATGCATCAGATAAATGGGTACCACAAGGTCTTGTCAAGTCAAAGCATAGCATTGCCTGTTATTACTTATAAAATATTGCTACCAAGAACCCGAACCAACCAATCGAGTGACATGCACACGATACATTATCTTTATTTATTATGCTGCCTGTAAGCTGTAGCTCTTCTGACGTTCTGAGCAAGGATTTGACAGGGAATTATTAAAGCGTCTTATTAGTCCAATATATACATATTTCACTTTTTGCCTCGAGAGAATTTCACTTTAGAAACAAGCAACTTGATTTTCTTTATAATAGTATAATTTTTTTATTGTGTGCACCTTCCTACAATCTTTCCCCTTGTTGGCATTGCACTAATAATAACACTAACAGATAATACGGCTCTTAGGTTTATCATTAAAAATGTATTCCTTCCATACATCATCACGAAACACGTCTGTTTAAAGGCTCTATCTGTGTTTTGGACTCCAAATGATCCGTTTATGGTTTTCTATATGAAGAATAATAACTTCCCACCGTACCTATGTACAGATTAGAGATCTATACATCGACCAAAGTACAAACATCTAAACAGATGGATAGTAGGATTCAAGTCCTGGTGGATGGAGTCATGCACCCAAGACTCCACCACACTAATGATGTTTATATTAAGGTAGAAAAACTCTTGTTGTACTAGTAGGAGAGAGAACTGATCTTGTCTACCTCCATAAAATAGTGAATCTATATAAAACTGTTGGGTAGATTATCTTAGTCATAAAATGATTAACACTAATATCCTAGCACTCTCCCATAGTGCAATTGTATGGGGAAAACCTAAATGCCTGCATTTTTTCCCCTTCTCCGGGGCAGAAGTCTTTAATAAAGAAAAGAAGAGGGGACATGTCGGGCACGGTAATTGCCCTGTTCCCTTGGCTGACAAGCCGTTGGCTGATTTGTTGTGAAAGAAAAATATTATTCGTTTACTAGAAAAGTACGACTTATAAGCTAAACGGGCGAATAAGATAAGCTAAAACCCGGCACCGCTAGAAATTTACCACTACCGTGACGATATGATACGTCCTGTCAAAGTAAATCAAGCGAATCCGTAAGAGATCTCCGCACGAGTAGCTCACAAGATATTTCTCCACGCAGTTCACCTGCACTAGTCCTCTGGTAGTATAAACGCAAGCAGCAGGGCAGACCAAGATTCTGCCAACGGCCGTGAAGGCCATGGCCAACCAATCCAAGAAAGGTCACTCCCCACCACAGCATTCTCAAGTTCCATCACACGGCCTAGGCTATAGCTACTAAAACCTATGAGAGAGAGAAGGGGGCAGGAAGAAAGAGGAGGAAGGCTACAACCTTCACAAAACCCTACGCAAGCAAGCACCCTCCCACTGCTTTTTACCCTAGCACTGACACCCCTGTACCCCATTTGCATGGGCACGATTTGACCCTTCAGTAAGCAAGAACACACGCACACGCATGCACATGAAAACTTTCAGAGGCTTGCGTCTTTTGATACACACACGGGAACAAAATGCATGCTCACGCACAAAACCAGCGTGCAACGCGACGTAGCGTCCAGAATATTTGCGTTTATTCGGCATAGAAAACTTGTGCCGGGACATGTTGAGATGCGTGCGTGGGTTTGATTTCCTCACCGGAGTGCGTGGTGGTCGCCGCCGGCGAGCTGACGCCGCTGCAGAGGTTGCTGAGCTGCGCCTGGATGCTGCTCAGGAACGACGCGGCCTCGTCGAACGGCCGCGACAGCTCCTCCTTGTAGCGCACCAGCACCCGGCAGTAGGAGTCCTGGAATCACAAGCACGCCAGAGAGCGCGTGCACATGTAATAACAGACGATTAGGAACAAGTAATCCGCTGCGATTATATATATGTTCTCGTCTAATTACCCCTTTATTTATCTAGTATTTAGATAACATAGATAGATTATACACGACGCTGACCCAAGAGCAGACCATGAACTCGTCGAGCTCGGGATCGACGCCGATCTCCCCGGCGCCGTCACCGGGGCGCCTCTCCCGGCTGACCTCCTCCAGCAGCGACGCCACCTGCGGAGGCGCTCCCACCTTGAAAACAAGAAACCGCGCGGATCATCGATCATATTCTTGCACAGCACAGCACAGCACAGCACAGGTAGCCCGCAATCAAGAAGATCCCTGCACGTAGACGTCGCACGCACCTTGCGGCACTCGATGTAGGCGGAGAGGAGGGAGGGGTAGCGAGGGTGGCTGGAGATCTGCGCCTTCATGAGCTCCGTCAGATCCGACGGCGAGGGGCCGCCCACGCCGACGCCGGCGACGGACGCCTCGCTCGCCGCGCCGCCGACCCGCGAGATCCCCGGGTGGATGCTGTACAGATCCTCCATGGAGCCGAGCGGCTGCTACCTGTACATCACAACTATGCACGGCGGCAGCTGCTGCTGTGTGCGCACTAGTGGTATTCTAGTACGCCACTGTAGTGAGTGAATGATGAATGATCCTCGTGTGGTGCTGGGCTTACAAGAAAGTGAGGGGGGCAGGAAGCCAGAGGCCTATGGGGAATTGATAGCAGCTGCTTGCACTGCAGATGGAGAAGCTGCAGATGCTGCTGCAGCAGCAGGAAAAGCTTGTGATATCTGCAGACGGCCCCAGAGAGAGAGAGAGAGAGAGAGAGAGAGAGAGAGTAAAGGGAGGGTGGAGGTGGAGTATTCTATGTGGAAAAGGAGAAGGCTGGGAGGAGGAGGGGTGAGGGAGTATTTCAGTATTTGACTGTTCTTCTCTTGGATACAGATTGGGAAGGTTGTTATCGTCTTTTTGATTTGTTAATTCGCGTGCTTGGACCCTTGTGTGTTCCGGGATTTGGAAGGATGCCCCCTGTAGAAGGATGGAGCTGATCGTCTCTCAAATTGAATTTAGTTCTCCCAAGGGTATGTTATCTCCCCCAACAGACAATTCTTTTGCAACTTTTTATCATTATTATTAGTTTCAGTCATAATTTTATATTAGAATAAAGAAAACATGTTGTATCCCATATTAGATTAGATGGATATCTTATTTTGGAAGAATAATTGAGGCAGGAGCCCCGCATATAAGAATTATATTACATATATAGCGCCAAGGATAAGCAGATAAAGCGAAGGTGAAATTGTCATTAGTTTGACTTTTTTATAATTACCAGTAAACATGCTAGTACATTGAAACGAGACTATTATTTATTATGCTACCGACAGTACGAGTGTGGCTGCACGACAGAGCCACGCAAGGGCACAGCGGCTACGACGAGGCGGCTTGAACCGGCGGCATGGCGGTCCCGGTAGCATGTGCATGTGGTGTCACTAGCCATGACCAAGTAGTCTAGGCTAATGGCGTGACGACCATCATGTGGACCTGGTCAGCAATGCGAGGCGACATGATGGGGTGGCACAACACCCCATGCAAGCGAGGCTTTAGTGGTGGCTGATCAGGTACGACTCTTGCGACGATGTGGACATGGCCCGACAGCCGCAGTTGAACGAGCGGGCAACCTTGACGGTGCCCTTAGTGATCGAGAAGAGTGATGTGCATGAAAAAGACCTCATTATGCTATCGATGTGTGCGACGATGCAATGGTTGGTGGAAGGCAAGAAGTAGCTAGACCTCACGAGGGTTCTTTGTTCTTGTTTTTTATGAATATTTGAATTTTTCTCTCTCTCATTATAATGCAGAGATATATTTATCAGTTAATGATAGAAGCATAAAAAAGGAACAAAAGGTACTCCAAATGGATAAAACTTGAAAAAAAAACTCGAAACGGAGGGCACTTGGAAGAACAAAAAAAAACCACAGAAAGAAAGACACAGACGGAAAGAAAAAAAAAGAAAAACAAACTGACAAAAATAGAAAAAAAAATAGAAGCACAAAAACAGAAACACGACTGCGTTATCTTAAAAAAGAAACGGAACCGGGGAATGCCGGCACCTGTATGTCAGGCGGAAAATTCTAATGCTCTTTCTTGATTGATTCAATTTAGAGCTCTGCCTTGGTCGATTGATCTTTTCTTGCTCGTCCTTTTATTTTCCAGTTTGAACTTCAACTTTACACAATTAAAATTATTTTAAGAGATAGGGCAAATTATTTTTAAAGATGGGCACACCTAACACCCGCCTCCATAAATAGTGAAGGGGGCTATAAGAAAATGTCCTGACTCGAAAATCATTTACGAAGTCGGGCGTCCTAAGACGACCGTTTCCGACGTCCGTCTCAATAAATCAATTTTCAGAGATAAACATCTTAGAACGACCACCTCTGTTATTCGATAATTTTAGTCGTTCTAGTCGTTCTAAGTGTCCGTCTCCTAAAATCAATTTATGGAGGCGACGGAGGTCTTAAAATGTTTGTTTCTATAAATAGTTGCATTAGAAAATAATTTATAATTTTTTCATATGAACTCAGATGATGACGAACTTTATATAAAAATTGTAGCTCTCGACGCGATCTACAACTTTGTACCTGCAAATTTTTTGAACTGAATTGGGATCCCAAAATATTGTTGTAAGTTAATTTGAAGTTTAAAAGTATCAAACAATCTCAAGTGTTGACATGGTCTATACGAAAACTATAGTTCTCAACACAGTCTACAACTTTGTAGTTGAAAAGTATTTTATTTAAAGTAGTTTAGAGTCCCAAACATGTGTTCTAAGTTTATTGATTTTGAAACTCACAATTTATAATTCATAAACGGCCTTGAATGTTCACATAGTTAATACCAAAGTTGTAGTAGCTCGACCTGAGCTACATGTTTGTTGTTGATAAATTTTTTATTTGAAGTCATTTAGAATCTAAATATGTGTTCTGAGTTTATTGATTCTGAAATTTAAAAAATTTTAATTTTTCAAACAATCTCGAATGGAGACACATTCTATACCAAAATTGTAGTGCTTAACAAGATTTAAAACTTTGTAGTTAAAAGTTTTTTATTTGAGTTCATTTAGTAGCCAAAATACCCAATATAAGATTACAAAATATATATAAAAAGATAGTATATTATATATGGTCATAAATGAGTGTATTTTTAGTGGTAGAGGTAGGTAGTGCTAAACTTGAGGTGGGGAGTTTGATTCCTAGAAGTTGTATTTTTTTGTTTTTAGGTTTTCTAGAGACCATTAATGGAGGCAGAGGTCTTAAGGTGTCCGCCATGGCATTAACGGAGGTGGATGTGTTAAGGCGCCAGTCTACGAAAAACCAGATTAACGGAGGTGAACGTCATGCCTGCCTCCGTTAATAAAAAAATATTCGCCTCTAAAAATAAATCCTATCGCAGTGTTAATGTATCATACCTGAACTCCTGTGGAGGTGGGAGACCGGTATTCTTTTTATTAGTTTTTTACACGGTTGTTCCACTTTTGCTATGATGAAAGGGTTTTGGTCACATATCGGATCAAAAAAATAGTTAGGAGGAGGCCAGACAAAAAAATAGAAAGACATAGTCTAGTAGCATTGTTGGATCCGTGTCAGGTACCCAACACGGATCTGCCAGGGGATGTAGATCTTGTCAAGGAGGTAAACTCGGCGAAGGCCTCTTGGGCGTGGAGGTTCATGTGGTGGGCTAGCACCAGAGGCCCAACTTCCATGGCGTCCTCGAGCCCGACGTGAAAAAGGCAGATGGAGGGCGGCTCCTCCTACACGGGTGGCTTAGGTTCTTACATATGCAAGTTCCCAAGCTAGACGACGACGAAGTCCAAGCTGCCGAAGGTGATCTTGGCACCTGGTTGCATCTTCACGATGTTGTTGAACTTGAAGATGATACACATCTAAAACGTGGGGAATATGTGAGCAAAAGGCCCCTACTTGGTGCGCCAACTGTCAGAAGTATTAGCTCCGACAATATGGATCAGCATACTATGCATAGGGAATCGGATGGGCAACACACGATGATACGAGGTTTATATTGATTTAGGTACGTGATACCCTACGTCTAGTTTGAGGTGGATCTCTTATCTCGTATGCTCAAGTTACAGGGGTGCTGATTGTAGCTTGCGATGTGCCGATCAAGGGGTCCCTACCCCACCTTATATAGTCTGAGGGATAGGGTTACAATATCCGATTGGTTTACTGATGTGTTTCCTAGTTGGTTACATATAAAGTACAATAAATATTCTATCCTATCTCCATAGGAGTTGGCGTCCAAATCTTCCTCGTAGGTTTCTTGTTCACCACGTTAGATGATGTACCCTAGTTTTGGTGGGCCTAATCCTTGTCATTTTCAGCCCATCATGACTATATTGGGCTGATATACATGCGGTAAGGTACCCTAGGTCCATATCTCTAACAAAGTGGAACTAGGTTAATTGATAACATAATTCACTACTTATGATGTTGATTTACCTTCACTTAGGTGCAATGTTGATGATCATCAATGGTGTTCAGTGACCATCAACAGACGCCATGGAGAAATATTATAGAGGAGATGCAGACTTTAGAATTGAAAACGAAACACAGAGAAAGTGTGTCATGTTGAAAACTGAGTAGCGAACAACTCCGGTGACACACTAGAAAGAAGGGTTAAGACCATTGCTCCGTTGCTAACTCCGGTGAACACCATAGAATTTTGGTGCTCACAGAAAAGTTGTATAACGGTTAGTCCATGTGGCACCACCGAAAACCTCTGTGGTAGGCACCGGACCTTCTGGCGCTCTACAAAAGCTGCAGATTTCCCACAACGGTTATATTATTGATTGGGGCTATATATACCCCTCACAGCTGGTCATTTGGGTGGAGTTGGAGCTCAAGGAAGGTATAGGAGAGCTGAGGCCCATCTCTAGTTGTTCTATCCACCAAAGTGCTTAAAGATTACATAGATGATTAGTGTAGGTGCTTTACAAAGTGTTTAGGCTAGTTAGACCACCGCTTTAGCCCTTGCTCTAGGTTTAAGCCTAGTGTTTAGTGAGGTTTGCATACATCTAAACCACTCAGTGTTTGCGAGACCATTGCTTGTACACTAGGGGCTTGTAGTCTTGCGAGGCCCTCTAATATGTGTAGTGTGTCCGCCAAGCATGTATGAAAGGGAACGTGTGACCTACGATGTTTTGGTCGAAAACACAATAGTGAAGACGAGCAGTCTTGGAGAGGGCCTAGCGGAGAACCACTTACGTACACATGGGGAAGGCCCACGGGCTCCATGGAGTTACTCAACAAGGAGATTGGCCCTTGTGAGGGCATCCATGCAAGGGGTCCAACAAGGACTAGGGGAAAGCGAGCTTCTCAATACCTTGGTAGAAATTGGGAGTCATCAATTAGAGTTTGCATTCTCTACCATTTAAGCTTCCACATTTGCATTGTGTACCTATGTTGTGTGCTTACATTTCTAGTTTAGTTTGCTAGGCTAGAAGTAACGCTAGGTACTTCTGCG